CCGCCCCTTCCGGCCCGGGAAGTTTGATTCCCTTGGCGGGCGGAAGCGAACGGAATTGGATACTTGGAAGAGCTGCTGGGAACGCTCTCCTTCCTCCGTTCATCTCTGGACAACGATCAGGAGCCTCCGTTAGCCAGCTGCTTCCCGTCCCGCCCTCGGGCCCTCAGGTCAGTGTCTCCCGCCTGCCTGCAGCCCCGCAGGTGGGGTCCCGGCCCTGGCGGCTGGGGATGGGGAAGGAGTTTGCTCCCTGCGCACCAGTGCCGGGGGATTTGGCCGGCGCCGGTCCTGGCTACGTTATTTCGCCTTTCCCACCCTAGGTTTCGCCCCTGAACGTGGCATTGGTAATATAGTACCTACCTCTGGGTGGTGTCCTGGCAAAGCGAGCGCTTGCCTCTACCGACTGCGAAAGAGGTTCAAAGTAGGATTATATCGTCCGAACACATCCCAATACAAAGGAAATGTGTAATCACCCGCTTTTCAAAATCCCTTCACTTTCACAGAGCCGTGGTTTAAGAGGCATCCACCAACACGGAGCTCTTTTTGATGATCTAGTGTTAAAGAGTTCGAATCCACTTGCCGCTCCACGGGATTGGCAGTCTACAGCGTCTGAAAGCTCGCATGAGGGTCAGCTATGAGTTGGTGCTGACTCAGTGGCACATAACCTTCTCTATAAGGGCGGGGGACATACCTTCAGTGGGATAACAATAATAGGAAACTGGAAAAAGAGAGACTCCCCTTGAACGGTGTCCTAAGAGATCAGTCAGGACCCTGGGACCTAGAATGAGTGATCCTTGGGTTTCATCTGTGCTGTTTCTCCATGGTAGTAGAATAAGGGGAAGGTGGAGTTAACAGGGTGAACCTTTATGGGGCAGTGGTTAAATGCTCACTTGTTCCAGAGAGGCGTGGTCTTTTGGGTTAGCTGTGCAATTTCCTACGTTGCTTTGCATACCTACACAATTGAAAAACCTAGGAAAATCTGGTAGCAGTATAGGAGTTTATAATCTAGGCACCGGTTTTCTTATACTGTAGCAAAAATGAGGTTCTTTTGATTCAGTAGGTATATTCTAGTATGGCACACACACATCGTATCCAAATACAGTTTAATTTGAGGGAAATGATAGATGGAGAAAATCAAAGAAAGACAATGAGAAGATTCATGATTGCAGTCTTAATCTTGATGCAAGCCAGTCTCTACGAGATCAGATATTGAAAGTTTAAATCTGAAATAAAAAGATTCTTCTGAAATTCTATCCCTCATTTAGGGAAATGAAGTCCACCATCAGACTTTTTCATTTTGCTGAAAATGATGTTGTTAAGTGTTGTTGAGTTGTAGGCGACTCATAATGACCCTATGAACGAAAGACCTGGACACTTGTATAGCTTCCATCCTTTCTCCAGGTTCATAAGGTCTCCAATCCTTTGTATGGAATTTAAATATATGTGTTCTCAAGTCATAGTTGTATTTCCTGAATGGTGGGCTTGGGGAAGAGGCAAGCATGGTAAAACTTCATCTCACATGTTATTGGGGGGGGGTAGTCTTTGGAAAAAGAATCATGCTGGAAAAGGCAGAAGCCCGAGAGAGAGAAAGACCCTCAAGGAGATGAATTGACATAGTGACTGCAACAATGGGCCTGACAGATCATGACTTTGGCTCAGCAGGATTGGGCAAAGTTCAGATCAGTTGTTCACGGGACAAAGTCTGTTTTTTTCCATTATATCTTAGTTGTTTTTGTTACTGCGGTTTGTTGTAATGGTAGTTGGCCCTCCAGCAGGTTTTTCGAGGCAGTAAACCTCACAGATGGGATTGTCCATCTTTCTCCTGAGGAGCAGCTGATGGATTTGAATGATGTACCTTTGGGTTGGCAGTGCAGTTCCTTACCACAAAGCCAGTGGAACTCCCTATTCATAATGACCCTCTAGGGACAGGATAGAACTAACTCCTAACGTCTCCTAGGCTGTAATCTTTCAGCAGTTCATCAGGTCTTTTGCAGAGCTGTTGGTGGGTTAGAACTGCTGACCTTTGAGTTAACAGCCAATCCTTAACCATTGCACCACTGAGGCTTCTTGGCGTATGGCTCAAGAACTCTTGATTTGGAATTGACTCATAGCCGGCCCTCTAACAGTTTTCCAAGACTGTACATCTCATAGGAGGCACCTCCTTTGGGTTAGAAATGCAACTCCCTATACAGTATACCACCAGAGCTCCCTTCAGCCATCCTGGTTATACTTTATTTAGATTTGTAGGTATAAAAGAAGATCATATTTCTTTTCTGACCATGTAGTGTTTCTGTTTTACAGGTTTTCTTTGTAATTCTTGTTAAACTTCCAAGAGGACTATGGAGGATTATGATGAACTTCTTAAATACTATGAAATATATGAAACTATTGGGACAGGTAAAATGTGTTGTTTTTCTTTTTTTCTTTGGAGATGAGGCTAGATCAACTGAGAGTTATTGTCTATTTGCACAGTCATGAGCTTTGTATTCTAACCTGTGTAGCTTTAAGTTTCTCTACCTGAGTTAGCAAGTAAAATAAAAGCAAGAGAGGGGGAAATAATGGGAGATGCCCCAGGGTCACTGCAAGAATTTATTTTTTTTTTAAATTTTAATTTTTTTTGTTGTATATTGTCAAATCAAATCTGACAGGTACAGGAGGAGATTGCCCCTCCTTCTCTAGCAGAGCATCTGGTGGACTTGAACCGCTTACTTGCGGGATTGCAGTGCAGCTTCTTGCCACTAAGCCACCAGAGCTCCCTGGATTTTTTTTTTTAATTTGACTTTTTAATTGAGATTTTAAAGTTTTAAAGAACTTGGGTTTCCAATCATTTAATTGTTGCATATTCCCCGCCCCACCCCAAGAAAGCAGGGGAATGATCAAAAGTAATTGCAACAATGAATGAATGTCTTTAAGAGAAAAGCAACTGGGGCCAGGAGGGAGGAAAATGTGCAACAATGAATGAATGAAATGAAATCCAAGTTTTCTATAAATTTTCATTAAAATCGCAATAAAAAATTATTTGTAAAAAACCAAATAGAGGCAATTGCAAAAGGAGACTCACATAGAGAAAGTGCAAAGAGTGAGATTGTGTTTTGTGTATTGTAATTAATGTCACAAAACAAAATTGTGTGTCAGTGGTTGAATGGAAAACCAGGTGGGCTTATAAACTTCACTCAAATCACAATTGAAAAATAAAAAGAGAAGAGGCTATTACAGTAATTCAGTTGAGTGGTGCTAGAAATTACAGATGATGGTAACTTGGACCAGCGTGCTAGCCCGTGAATAGGATGAGATTCAGTATACACCTGCACATACATGTACACATATGTATATATATGTGTGTTTAAAAAACTTACTGAGGTATAAAATTTAGTAAAATATACAAAATACGTCAATCTTTCATAGAGTTTTACATGTCTATATTTTTACCATCCTGGTCAAGACAATGAAACATTTCTAGAATATTGTTTCTCTTCCCAAGGTTTTTTGGTGACTTGTGTATGGAATGTGAGAGAAAGGAAAATGCTAACCATGGCTGTGAGATTTTTAACTAAAATAAAATATGAAAATGAAGTTGCTTTTACTGAGAAGAGAAAGTCTTTATTATCAGACACGGCTTTTTGGAGTTCTCTTAAGTTGGAGATTTTTTTTAGATACCTAAATAAAGATATTTATCTAGCTTTTGATCCATTTTGTAACATAACTGCTTATTTTCACAGTGTTACAATTGAATGAGGGGCTCTGGTATAGTACTTATAATATTTGTCTTCTGTCTTCAGCAATTTGACATTGTATTCTAGTAGTGTTAATTATGAAGCAAACTTCTAAAGAGTGGATCTCCTATTACAAAAAGGGAGATACACAATTATAGCTAAAAAAAGAAAAATCTTTAATTAGATATGTAATTTTAAGAGATTAAGTTTAAAGGGAGCTCTGGTGGCCTAGTGGCAAGAAGCTGCACTGTAATCCCAGAGGCACACGGTTCAAATCCACCAGATGCTCTGCTGGAGAAGGAGGGGCAATCTCCTCCTGTACCAGTAAGATCTGATCTGACGGTACACAGACAAAATAGAATAAAAATAAAAAAAATAAAAAAAAAGAGATTAAGTTTATAAGAACCACAATTTCAGGAAAAACATGGATTGATAGTCTCTTAAAAGTGTGTGAAAAGTTGTTAGCACGTTAGTCAGTCTTCTGATGATTAGAATACATTTTGTTTTGCTCTTTATAATACATTTTTCTGTCATAGGTGGCTTTGCAAAGGTCAAACTTGCTTGTCATATCCTCACTGGAGAAATGGTAGCCATAAAAATTATGGATAAAAGTACACTTGGGGTAAGTGTGAGACTTTCTTGCCAAAATAATCTGTTTAAAGATCTCTTGTGAATTGTGGTTTATATTTAGCTGCTAACTGAGAAGATGGTGGTTAAAAAATACCTACTGACTCTGTGAAAGCCAAGCCTGGTGACATACTTTCATAAGATTACAGCCATAGTGAACCTAGTGGAGCACAGTTCTGTCTTGACCCACAATTGGCTTGGAAGGAGTGGATTTGGTTTTGTGAATTAAAACCCAGATTTGGTCTAATGTGTCAGTATCTTGGCGATCTAATGCTACTACAACAGATACCGTAAGTAGATAGTTTTTACAACAGAAATCTCTTCTCTTAAATTTAGGAGGCTCTCAATCCAAGTTTAGGATGCCAACTCTAGAAGGAGGTACACTTTCTCTCTCAGTTGTGGAAAAAAGCCTTTATTTGCCTTCAGTATCTGTAGACTCAGCATTTGAAATGTTTCTCCCTGTGATCTGGTGTGAGAGCTTTGCTTTGTAGGGGCCTGGGTTCAAAGAGTTGCACTTCTCTCTTGATACCAGCCTCAGTACCAAGTGAGGCCCCTCTATCTTGGTTCTTTGCTTTTATCTCTAGTGAGATGAAAGATTTTACAGGATACAACCTAGAGGGAACTCCCTTTACATCCAATTAAAGCTGTGATGGCTTTGTTGTTGTTATGTGCTGTTGAGTCGCCTGTGACCCATAGTGACCCTATGTATAGCAGCTCTGAAGCCTGCCCTGTCCTGAGCCAGTCTCACTGTCTCTGACACACCAACCCCCATTGCTCCAGTTACTGTATCAGTCCATCTCATCTAGGGTCTTCCTCACCTGCACTGTCCCTCCATCCTTTTGAGCATGATGTCCTTCTCCAAGGATTGGCACCTCCTGGCCACATGCCCAAAGTATGTGAGATGGAGCTTCAAAATCCTAGCCTCTAAGGAGAAACTTGGAAACTTGATCCCCTCACAATTATTTGACTTTACAGATCGAGGAGGAATTACTGTATAGTTTCTACATTGTGTCAATGTATTTTTGGGCACACAGTTGAATGCATGACAATTAGTTACTGCTTCTGGAATAAAATTTCTCTACTCTCTCCACCCAACCACAACTCCTTGATAATTGTTATGTTGTTGATTGCCTTCAAGTCGAGCACAACTTGTTGTGACCCTATGTACAAAAGGCCTGAAGGCTTTCTATAACCATCGACATTTATCAAAGTTTGTAGACTTTCCACAGGCATGTCTATCTGGGAGAAATAGGTTGGGAGAAAGGGTTACATTATCCCTCAAAGTTTAATATATGACAGTGGCTGAAGTCTGTAGGATCCATTTTTCTGTGGTTTTTTTAGTCTTCTAAGTTTTTTTGGTATTGATAGCTCCCTTTTTTATCTTCACATGATACCCCTATTAGATGTTGATTTATTTTGTAATATACATCGATAAAACAGATTGATCATATGTCCTGGATTCTTATTCAAAGTGGTTTTAGAAGTTATCTGATAAACTTCTTTCCCCAATCTGTTAATTTCTTATAAGTAACTGACTTGTTTGGCTCCTTGTCTACCTGTCTGCCTCCAGGACTGAACAGTTCATTACTTCCTGAAGCAGTCTTTTTATTAGAGGATCTCGCCTATAATGTATATAAATATCTTTTTTATTAGAAAATTCCTTGGTGGCCTTTGTGGGACCTCTCTACCCTTCCTAGTATAAAGTCATCCCAAGTCGTCTTGTTTTTGTATTCTTTATACTGTCCCTCAGATGATTTGATTTCTAGGCTCTCCATCCCTTTAAAAAAACAAAAACAACCCAAAATCTAAACAAACAAAACAACGGCAAATGAAGTTTACTGAGGGATAGAGACACTGTCTAGACTAGGGACATGTTTTTCCTCACAGAGTGAAAATGGTTACACAAAGACTACCAGTCAGTGTGACCTAATTGTAAAAATAGAGCAGTTTTAAAAGTCATTCCAAAGCAGTCATTCTAACACTTTTCCTCTATCCAGGGACAGCTGTAAATCCTCAAACTTTAAAGATGTATGTTCTAAATAAGATCCTACATATGATAAAAAGTATTACATAAAGTTAAAGGATTTTGTCTCTGTGTATGTGATCATATTCCATGATCTTGGGACAAGCTTATTCTTCTGCCAGTGGTCCAGGGAAACCAGAGTGTAAACTCGTCAGAGTGCTGAACATCTAAGCTTTTCCTTATTCTGGTCTCTTGTTGCTGAAAAGTCATAAATCTGTATTGGTGGCTGCTGCTGTGTTTTGAAGATAAGTTTGTAAAATGTTTGAAGAAGTTTTCTCTTACCAAAAAGTCTATGCCAATTGTCTTTTTCTTTAAGATTGAGTTAACTTTGCAATTATTGGTATGTGCCATCAAGTGGGAACCAACTCATACCTCTCATGGCTTTCTAGGGGCTGGAAATTGCACAGAAGAGATTGTCCATCTTTCTCCTGCGGAGCAGCTCTGGAGCTCCATTTACAGTTATTAGTAGTATGTAATTTTTTAAAACAGCATTTTATAAATGCTGGTAATTATAAAATGAAAACTCCTCACTTAACTGAAAATATGTTCTTTGAATTTAGATATAATTAACTGCTTTCTTGGCCCCCATGAGACCCTTACTTACTTTGGGCATATGCCAGGGGTTAGCATCAGTCCGTCTTCTGGTGTTATTAGATGTTGCTGAATTGATTGCAGCTCTTAGTGACCCCCTGTGACAGAACAGCCCGTAGGATTTTCTAGGCTGTAATCTTTACAGGAGCGAGTAGCTCTTACAGAGCGGCCAGTGAGTGCTGTCTTTCCCATAGCAGCCAAGCCCTTAATCTTGATGTTACCAGAGCGCCTTTTAGTGCTGGTAAACGTATATGAAACAAGTCAAAAGGAATGTGAGGAGTTTTGTTACAACACTGTCACTCAGTTCTTTGAACTCCTTCCTGGTGACCAACAATATCTGAAATTATTTTCATAATCTATCTGCTAGCAAGAAAGCTCTGGTTGGCCTAGTGGTAGGAAGCTGTGCTGCAATTCCAAAGGCCGGTGGTTTGACTCCACCAGCTACTCCATAGAAGAAGGATGGTCAATCTCTTGTGGATTTACTGCCTCTGAAAACCCACTGGGGGGGTCTGCTATGGATTGGTTACGACTTGTTGGCACCCAACAACATCACCTAGCAGTACAGACTTTCCTTCACTTTTTTCCTGTGCTCAATGTTACATTTAGTAATCTAATAAACATAACATTAGAAATGAGTTTTCTTTGAGTATTTAAACATTGGTTACAAATTTCATGAATCTCATTCCTTTAAGAACCTCCGGTGGTCTAGAGGCAGCACTTCTTTGGTAGTATGAATCAACAAAAGACGGACAATTTCTTCCCACTTGATTTATAGCCTCAGAAAACTGGTAGAGGGCCAGCTGTGAATTGATTCCGACTCACAGAATGAAGGGTTTTTGTATTTGTTAAGAAACTTAAGTTTCAGTTATAATTTTAATATGACTTATTCACTTGAACTTTTCAAACATTGAAGTAACAAACAAAAGGTATTCTATTGTTGTTGTTATGTGCCATCGAGTCGCTTGCGACTCATAGCAACCCTATGTACAAGAGCTCTAAATGCTGTTCTATCCTGTGCCAACCTAGCCATCTCAAACGCACTTATTCCCACCGCTCCAGTCACAGAATCGATCCATCTCACCAAAGGTCTTCCTCTCCTTCGCCGCCCCTCCACTCTGCCAAACATGATATCCCTCTCCAAGGACCAGTCCCTCCTTGCAACATGCCCGAAATATGTCAGACGAAGCTTCAGAATCCTTGACTCCAGGGAACACTCTGGCTTCACCCTCTCCAGGACAAACCTGTTTGTTCTCCTAGCAGTCTGTGGTATATTCAACACTCTTCTCCAGCACCACAGCTCAAAGGCATCAATTCTCTTTCTATTATCCCTATTTACTATCCAACTCTCCGATGCATAGCATGTAATTGCAAAGACTATAGCCTGGATCAGGCGCTGCTTAGTCTCCAGCCTGATGTCGTTGCACTTCAGTACTCTTGAGAGGTCCCTCACAGCTGACTTTCCCAATGCAATTCGTCTCCTGATTTCCTGGCTGCTGTTACCAAGAATGTTGACTGTGGAGCCAAGTAAATTAAAACTGTTAACTATCTCAATCTCTTTACCATCCATACTGATGCTGCCAATTGGCCCAGTGGTTAGAATCTTTGTTTTCTTGACGTTTAGCTTCAGTCTATATAGGAGGCTGTAGTCCTTGATCTTCTGCAGCAAGCGCCTCAGGTCCTCCTCATTTTCAGCAACAACACATTTATTATCACAGTAGTACTCAGAAGTTATTCTAAACATCAACATCTTCATATTAATGAATTTATTTATATTTCTAAATTTGTTTTTATATTTTCTATTATAATAATTTTAATTCCTATGATTTTAACAGTAATATTATTTCTTCAAAGATTTTAGTAATCTTAGCAGACTAATTTCTTTCCCATCCCCTCAAAAAAAAGAAAACAAAAAGTGTCATCATCTTATAATAGTAAAAGGTACAAGTGAAACTTTAATAAGAAAGTCAAGAAGCTATTACTGAAAAATTTTTAAAAAAGAATGTTAATTTGATGGGTAGAAGGAGGAGTAGATAAAGGAAATGGGAAAGATCCTGTGTGACAAACAATGTATACAAACTTTGTAAGCAAACCAGTATAAAATTGCCCATCCTTCTCCTGCATCTGGTCACACGGTTCTTGGCAGATGACTCACTGATCACTAGACAAAGTCTCTCATAATAAAATTTCACTTGCTATTTCATGGATTCCTAGATATTTGTGTTTAGTGTGGATTCCCCACCACTACCCTCCCCCAACTTGCTTTCTTTCCCCCTCCCAACTTTTCTTATTCTCCTTTTCAGCAGCTTTTTATTGGAATAATTTTAAGTCCAGGGAAAAACTGAAAGAACAAAAGACTGAATAGCCATGTAACCTTTACCTTGATAGACTGTTTTTCACTTTACTAGTGAAAAGAGTGCTAGTTGGTGACTGATACTTAGAAGAATATCTGTCAGTTTCCTTGTTTAGAATGCTAATCTTCCAATGAGGCCTAGAATTATTTTAATTTTTTGGATGCTATTCTGCTAACCTGGGTTGAACTTGTCTTTCATAGCAGTTGAACTTGTCTTTCACTCTAGTGCTTTTTTTTGTGTTGACTGAGTTTTATCTTGTGCTGTTGAACATTTTGGAAGCAGGAATGGCATGCACTTCCTAAACTTGTTGAATGCTGATAGTTTTAGAAAAGCTTCAGGCCTTCTGTTCATAGGGTTGTGATGAGTCGACTCAATGACAATCAACAACACTACTGAACAATTTGTTTTGGACTTTGGATAACTAATGTTGGTGATATTCGTGCTTCCCAGATGGGCTTATTGTTAAATTGGCTTAATGTTTTTGTTACAGAGTGATTTGCCTAGGGTAAAAACGGAGATTGAGGCCTTGAAGAACCTGAGACACCAGCATATATGTCAACTGTACCATGTACTAGAGACAGCCAACAAAATATTCATGGTTCTTGAGGTTAGTGCTTTATTCTAGAAACCTAAAAGCATTTTGGTCCCTTTGTCAGAAGAGGAAATTGTATGTCTCCTGAAAGATCAGAATAAATTTTAAATGATTTACCTGTTTGAATTCTGTCTGAAATTTCTACCAAGGTAGGTGTAAATAATAAATTGAAGATTCACTGTAACTGTGTACTTTCTACTACACCCCTAGTACGGTGGTGTGATTTAGTAAATAGCATATTAGAATTTACATTACGATTTTTATAACCTTGGAAGGTTTACTGGGAACAGGACCTTTAAACCTATAAATATGTCTAGAAGGCTATGATCCTAGGCCTTTTTTGCCGACCAAAAAGGGAACCAGCAGGAGCACACAATTTTTCTTAAAACTGAAGATGATTATGCCTTACATGAAACAGTTCTGTTTAGGCAAGCAATGTGCTTTTGTGTACAAAGCAAACAACAGCACACCTCACCTGACAAAACCAGAACAATCTAGGAAAAGGTTAACTTATGCCCATGGAAATGTGCCAGATTCCAAAACAACCTTCCTGCTTAGGTCACTGGACACAGAATCTGTGTAGTGCCATATCCTCGAGGTTTTAAGCATGTTTTTTAAAAAATCCAGTTGTGGACTTGCTAAGCAAACACACAAATAAGAAGTTATTTCTGGAGGGGGCCTTTGAAAACTGTGGAGAACAGTTACTTCTACTCTGACCCATAGAGTTACCATGAGTGAAGGTTGGCAACTTGTACCTAGCAAATGATAATGAGAGTATTTTTTAATATGCTTCACTCTATTCCCTTGCCTATAATGTAGAATTTATAATATCTGAGTTAAGTATTTTTATTTTTAAATTCCTGTGAGTTATGTAAGTAATAATAATATTTGTGTGTGTATTTTGCTATATAGTACTGCCCTGGAGGAGAGCTGTTTGATTACATAATTTCCCAGGATCGCTTGTCGGAGGAGGAGACTCGAGTTGTCTTCCGACAGATCATATCTGCTGTAGCTTACGTGCACAGCCAAGGCTACGCTCACAGGGACCTCAAACCAGTAAGTGAGTGGGGCACACATGTTCAGTGTAAGAGTTTATCTGCTGGTTATTTTTTTTTTTTACATTTTTGCTTTATACTGGTTTATGTACAATGTTCATATACATTGTTTTTCTTACTGGATCTTTCTCATTTCCTTTACCCACCCCTCCCACTACCTATCAAAATGTGCGACCCGAGGGGAGCTCTGGTGGCCTAGTGGCAAGGAGCTGCAACT